CCAGCAGCACCTCCAGCAGCAACAGCTCCAGCGCCTCCAACTCCAACTCCTGCAGCACCACCAGCTCCAGTAGCTCCAGTACCTCCAGTACGAGCACCTCCGGCAGCTCTAGCACCAGCAGGACCTCCAGCAGCTCCAGCTCCAGCAACACCTCCAGCTCCAGCAGCTCCAGTACCTCCAGTACGAGCACCTCCGGGACCAGCGGCTCCAGCACCTCCAGCAGCTCCAGCACCAGCACAACCTCCAGCTCTAGCAGCACCTCCAGCGGTAGGCCCCCCAGCTCCAGCAGCACGGCTCCAGCGCCGAGAAAACCACTCTCGCAGCTACGGTGGAGAGAGTGGCTCCCGCCGTGACAAGACACCCGGAGGACCTCCAGAGGACAAAGTACCTCCACGCGCAGCACCCTCAGGCTCAGCACCCCCAGGCTCAGCACCCCCAGACTCAGCACCCCCAGACTCAGCACCTCCAGGCTCAGCACCCCCAGGCTCCGCACGCTCAGGCTCAGCACCCCTAGGCTCCGCACCCTCAGACTCAGCAACCCCAGGCTCAGCACCCCCAGGCTCCGCACGCTCAGGCTCAGCACCCCCAGGCCCCGCACCCGCAGGCTCAGCACCCCTAGCAGCACCAGAATCGACAGCTACCTCGACAGGCTCGACAGGGTCTACCTGGGACACACCTGAGGGGGCAGGACCCTGAGGGGGGAGGGGGTCTACCGGATCAGGACCTGGTGCTAGGAAGAGCGGCGGGGGGGGGGAGAGGGGCAGTGCGGTAGGGAAAGAGATGGTAGTAAGGAACCGACTCGTCAAACGTGACATCCTGAGAGGACAGAACACGACGCGAGGTGGGGTGGTAAAACTGCCAACCAGGCGCGTCAGGGGGGAAGCCAAGGAAGACGCAGGGAACAGCACGGGAGGACAGCTTGTCCGCGGAAGAATCGCGGACAAAAGCTCGAGATCCCCAGGCACGGCGCTCAGCAATCCCATTTTGCTGTGGGGAGGCCGGAAGCGTGAACGTCTGGCGGATGCCCTCCGCACGACAGAAGGCCCGCAGAAGGTCGGAGGAAAACTCACCACCTCTGTCGGAGTGCAGACGCAGAACAGGAAGGTCCGAGCCGAAACTCTCGCTGAGCTGGCGACGGGCAGCGCGGATCCAGGTGATCAACACCTCAGTGACCTCACCCTGGCGGCGCAAGGGGAAGACTGTGGTGTAACGCGAGTAGTCGTCAACGACCAGCAGTAAGTAACGCTCGTGACCCTGTCCACAGACGCGGGCTGGGCCCCACACGTCCATGTGGAGAGTCTACAGGGGAGCCTCCGTCGGAGGGAACTCGGAGGAGTGAGGAGCGGCGCGCTGCCGTCCCTCGACGCAAGGAACGCAGGTTGGGGCAAACCCCGGTGGGAAAGGAGGGAGAGACCGGGGGAGACCAGAGACAAGGGTACGGGAGGCCATACCTCGGAGACGAGGCAGGGAGGGGTGACCAAGGCGGTGGTGCCAGAGGAGAGTCTGGTGTGACAGGAGACGACACGAGAAGGGGGCAGACTCCGGACCAGACGTGGACGCAGCAGCAATCACCTGACCAGACGCGGCTATCTGACCAGACTCAGCAACCGGAGGAGACTCACTAGTCAGTGTATACAGGCTCGACCCAGGCCGACGGGTGAACGGTGCTAGGTGGCGGCCCGTCCGAGTACACGTACAGTGGGTCACACGCTGACCTCCAGGAGTGAACTGGTCAACCCACACGTCCTGGAGGTCAGCTCCACTCACCAAGTTCGTAGAGAACAAGGGGAGGTGAAGACCCGACAGTGAGCCAGACGGGGCCGCCGGAAACGGCAGAACCGTGGAGGAGTGCGCAAGGACTGGCCCCCCAGAGGGGTCCGCCAGGGAGACTGCAACCGGCCTACTGAGCGGCGTGAGTGTGGTGCTGTCGCGAAAGAAGGAGCGGGAAGCACCTGAGTCAAGCGTGAAGGTGTCCAAGGCCTCAGCAGGCGCAGTACCAGAGAGAGCAGACTCACTAGCACCTGGAGCAGCAGACTCACTAGCACCTAGAGCAACAGCCTCTATACCTGGGTCTGGGGGAACACACAGGTAACAGTCACCCTCAGCACTAATAGTCAAAGCATACATGGCAGCAAGGATAGCATCGAAATCAAGATCAAAGATAGCAACACCATACCTAAGCAGATCAGCCCAACGAGGGAGCTCACTGGCGTCAGGAAACTGTGCGCGCCAGGCGTCAGACAGGCGACCGAAGCAGCGCTGCATCGTGTGTGGCAGCCCGCACGTCTCCCCACGGCGCTCGCCGGTGCGGAGAACGTAAGCGCAGGGACCAGCACCCCCACACCTCCCACACCCAGCGTACCACTCACGAAGCTGCTGGGGCGACGGGGCCTCACGGGAACGCGGCTGCTGCTGTCGCTGGCTACCGCCAAAGCCTCCACGCTGCGCGGCTCCACCCCGACCAGCACCACCGCCGCCACCCCCACTGCCGCTGCCGCTGCCTCCACCACCTCCACCGCCGCCACCGACGCCCCCACTCCCGCCACCACCCCCACCTCCACCCCCACCCCCTCCTCCTCCTCCACCGCCACCACCGCCGCCCCCGCCGTCCCCTCCACCACCCTTGCCCCCCTTGCCCTTGCCGCTGCGGCGCCTCCCACTAGGAGCAGACGCAGCCCCGACCTCCTCGGTGCCAACGAGGTCGACAGCAGCAGCAGAAGCAACAGAGGGCAAAAGGGGAACGGGGGAACACCCCTCAAAGAAAGGGGCGCGAGGGTCGCCGTGAGAAGCTCTTACAGCGACTATGCTAGTCTCAGCTGCAGTGAGGCGCTCCTCGAGCAGGTCGACGGTGAGCTCGGTGGGGCAAAGGGAGAGAAAGTGGTCCCTGACTGAGCGAAGAGAGTCAGGGAGACGGGTGACGAGGTAGAAGAGGGTGATGTACATGGGGGGGGGGGGTTCTTGGCGCAAAACTCGGAGGGAAGCGATGCGCGGTAGCGGGTGTCACTAGTGCGGAGGTGAGTGATGAGGTTAGCGACTATGGCAAAGGCGGCCAGGTCAGGGAACAAGTACGGCAGCATGAGGCGGCTGAGGGCAGCAGTGGCAGAGGAGGAGTAGCGCGCTACGACAGCGTCATACAAAGACTTAGCAGTCTTGTACTGGCCAAAGTGCGCGCGCTCAGCAGACGGCAGGTGACTACGAACAACAAGACGAGCAACAGCGTCACGAGTAGTCCACTGCGAGCGAACCGTACTGTCAGCAGTGGCAGCAGGTGCAATTGACGCGCCGGACGTGTGATCGAAAAGCGAGACTCCGTCCCTAGAGTCGCACTGAAGAAAGAGCTGCAGGTCATCTACCCAAACGTCGAAATCGACCGCACGGCCCTCAGCATCAAAGGTAAGAACAGTAGGGCTAGCCATGGCAGCAGTAGCAGCAGTATTAGCAGTAGCAGCAGTAGCAGCAGGAACAGCAGGAGGAGCGCGGGGAGGGCAGCGCAGCGCAGTAGGGCAGGGCGGCGCGGTCCAGTAGAGCGGTGCGGCTCGGCAGGGCGGCGCGGCTCGGCTGGGCGGCGCGGCTCGGCTGGGCGGCGCGGCTCAGCTGGGCGGCGCGGCGCGGCAGGCAGGCGGGCGCGGCGGTGCGCTTAGCAGGGCGGGCGCTTACCAGGGGCGGGTGCAGGGCAGGGCCGCGACGGGCGGTTAGGTCAGGGCCGCAACGGGGCGGCTGTAGGGCAGGGCCGCGACGAGGCGGCGGCAGAGCAGGGCCGCGACGGGGCGGCAGCAGGGCAGGGCCGCGACAAGGCGGCTGCAGGGCAGGGCCGCGACGGGGCGGCGGTAGAGCAGGGCCGCGACGAGCGGCTGAGGGCAGGGCCGCGACGGGTGGCGGCAGGGCAGGGCCGCGACGGGCGGCTGAGGGCAGGGTCGCAACGGGTGGGGCGGCAGGGCAGGGCCGCGACGGGCGGCTAGGTCAGGCCGCGACGGGCGGCTAGGTCAGGCCGCGAAGGGCGGCGACAGGGCAGGGCCGCGACGGGCGGCTAGGTCAGGGCCGCGACGGGCCGTTAGGGCAGGGCCGCGACGGGCCGGGAGGGCAGGGCCGCTACGGGCGGCAGTAGGGCAGGGCGCGCGACGGCGCAGGTGAGGCAGGCGCGAGGCGCGCTTCGGGCAGGGCAGGAAAAAATATCGTGGTGGGCCCTAAAAAAAAACGTTCCCACTAGGGAACCTGCTCTGAAACCATGTCAGAAAGTAGGAATCAAGAATAACTAGAATGACAGCAGTACAAGGTTTGTATAGCAAAACCTAATTGGGCTGTACCCCATAAGGAGTGCCCCACTACAGCCTAGAGCATATAATGTCGCGATATAGATTTATATATGTTTATAACTGCCTGTAGCTTTAGCTTTAGTGTAGTCATGCTTCCTCGCTATTGGGTGGTGCACCTCTTGTTTGTGTTTCTCGACTATATCTTGTATGCTTTGCTTGTAGTGAAGCTAACTTGTTTGGTCAACTCTCTCGATCCTCCCTTGGCCTTGACATCGATACCCGCTTGGCCTAGGCTTCTAGGCCTACGCCCTTAGTTAAACCCGGTTACCAGTTCAGATCGCATTGTAACATGGTATAGAGCTAGGTCCGATTTAGGACTGTTCGTTTTACATGGGCCCACCACTAGCCCTCGTCGTGGCGCATCCCGCCGCGCAGCCCGTAGTGCGCATCGTGAGCGCCACGACGATCAGCTCGTCGCGCTGCCCTGCTGCAGCTCGTCGCCCCGCACTACCCGCTGCTGATGCCCGTCGCACGTCCCGTCGCGCTACCACCCGTCACCCGCCTCGTCGACCGTCGCCCGTCCCGTTGCGCTGCCGCCCGTCACGTCACGTCCCGTCACCTGCCTCGTCGATCGTCGCCCGCCCCTGTCTCGCTGCCGTCCGTTGCATCGTCGCCCGTCGCACGTTAACCCGTCGCCCCGCTTTCCGCCCGCACCCCTTCGTCCGCGCGTTACCTGCCACCCGCCCGTCACCCGTTCCCTCCACCCGCTCGCTCCCCGCCGTCTTGAACCCGACGCCCCGTATGCGCCCTGCCTTTCACTGCCGCCCGTCGCCAGATCCGTGCCGCCCGTCTCCAGATCCCCGCCACCCGTACGCACATCGCTGCCCATCGCAAGGGCAACGCCCTCCCTCCCGTCGACTTCGCAACTGCTGTGAAGGGAGTGGCGGGAGTGGCGGGGGTGATGGGAGTGGCGGGAGAAGCTGCTTCTACGCCGCTACACGCGCCAGATCGCTCGCGACCCGCACCTTGCACCCCATCCGACCCCGTGGCACCACCTGTGGACCCTACTACCCCGTCCGTTCCAGTCCCCGGCCCGCCTAGCGCTCCACCCCTGCCATCGGACCCGCCAGCCGCCAGCACAAGCACCAGCACCAGCGCCAGCCGCCAGCACCAGGAACCAGCACCAGCGCCAGCCGCCAGCACCAGGAACCAGCACCAGCACCAGCCGCCAGCACCAGGAACCAGCACCAGCGCCAGCCGCCAGCACCAGGAACCAGCACCAGCGCCAGCCGCCAGCACCAGCACCAGCCGCCAGCACCAGGAACCAGCACCAGCGCCAGCCGCCAGCACCAGCGGGGTCGAGTGGGCGGGTAAGGGGGTGGGAGAAGTAAGTTGGGCATTTGCAGCCGTTGCCTGTAGCAGGCACGCCCCCGAAAGGTGCTGAGCGGTGCTGTCCTGCTGCTTGTTGCAGCCACAGCGCCTGCTCTCACGCCCACCTGCCGGGTCCTGCACCTGTCGCTGCTGCATCTGCCGTGGCTGAGGTCACTGTGGCTCTATCTGCCATCACTGCAACTACTGCCTGTAGCAGGCACGCCCCCGGAGGTGCTGAGCTGCGCTGTCCAGCTGCTCGTTGCAGCCACGGCGCTTGCTCTCACGCCCACCTCTCGGGTCCTGCACCTGCCGTTGTTGCATTTCTCATGGCTGATCTGTGTTGCTGTTTCCCCTGCTTCTTCTACCTCTTCCCCAGGTTCCGGGGGTGTGACTTGCTCTAGTTATGTGCTGCAGGCAGTTAAGGGGGTGTGTCGCGATATATATTTATATATGTTTATAACTGCCTGTAGCTTTAGCTTTAGTGTAGTCATGCTTCCTCGCTATTGGGTGGTGCACCTCTTGTTTGTGTTTCTCGACTATATCTTGTATGCTTTGCTTGTAGTGAAGCTAACTTGTTTGGTCAACTCTCTCGATCCTCCCTTGGCCTTGACCTCGATACCCGCTTGGCCTAGGCTTCTAAGCCTAGGCCCTTAGTTAAACTCGGTTACCAGTTCAGATCGCATTGTAACATATAAATGCATAGTTCTGACACAGGTGCCAACACATGCGTACTCAGGGCGTGTTCCTACGCCTCGTATCAAGCGAACCTCATATCAGGCTCACACTGAAAATTCCCCTAAACCGAGAATCATTCGCTAGTTTTACCAGGCAAGTCTGATATGAGGTTGCCTGATATGAGGCGTAGGAACACGCCCTCATACTTCGCAGGTGTTTGTAAACGGTTGAGCACGACGTGGACTGACACGCACATCACTGTCAAAACATATATGCTTATGTGCTTTAGGCTATATGGGTGTTAGCACTAGGGGGTACACAATTTCCCTCGATGTTGTTCTTGTACCCCTCCCCCTTGACCTAATGACCAACCATTCTCCTTACCTAGTCTCGACATGGTATAGAGCAGGTCCTTCCTAAGGACCATTTTTTAGAGGGCCCACCGCTTAGAATTTTTTTTCCTGCCCGAAATTCTGCCCTGCCCTGCCCTTCCCCGTGCCTTCCCGCTGCCCTGCCCTGCCGCGCGCGCAGTCCGTACAGCCTGCGCCAGGCCCGTTTAGCCCGCGAACCGCCCGCGCGTAGCCCGTACAGCCCGCGCGCCGCCCTTGCGCAGCCCATACAGCCCGCGCGCCGCCCGCGTGCAGCCCGTACAGCCCGCGCATGGCCCGCACGCAGCCCGTACGGCCCGCGCCAGGCCCGCACGCAGCCCATACAGCCCGCGCCAGGCCCGCGCACAGCTAGTACAGCCCGCGCCAGGCCCGCGCGCAGTCTGTACAGCCCGCGCCAGGCCCGTGCGCACCTGCCCTGCCGCCCGTGCACTTGCACTGGCCCTGCACCTCGCCGGCCCGCTGTCCATGCTGCCCTACTGCTGCGACTGCACTACTGTTACTGCACTACTGTCATTGCCCTGCACAGTGTAGTGCCAGCAAGCGCGGCTGCCCTGCCCTGCCTGCACATGTAAGCTCTGCCCCGTGCACCTGCCCTGCTCCGTGCTGCTGCCCTGCCTTGCCCCGCACTGTTGCACTGCTCGTCACGTGCCCCTGCCTGCACGCCGCCCTGCTGGCATCCGCCCTGCCCTGCCCTGCCCGCGCGCTGCCCTGCTGGCCACGCCACCCTGCCCTGCTCTGCCTGCGAGCCGCCCTGCTGGCCACCGCCCTGCTTTGCCCTGCCTGCGTGATGCCCTGCTGCTAGCGCGCCCTACTGCTCTGCCCGATATGGCCACTCAGTGTACTTTCGTTCGATGCAAAGGGCCGTCCGATACAGTTCGACGAGTGGCTAGATGACCTGCAGCTGTACTTACTGAGTGATTCTAGAGACGGTGTCTCGCTGTTTGACCTCATGTCTGGCGCCTCTCTCGCCCCTCCCGACACAGCTGACAGTGCGACTCGCTCACAGTGGCTTACCCGTGACGCTGCTGCTCGCCTAGCCGTTAGCCGAGCGTGCTCACTTTGGCCAGCACAAGGCTGCTAGAGCCCTGTACGACGCTGTAGTCGCTCGTTACTCCTCCCCGGCCACAGCTGCTCTAGGCCGTCTTATACTGCCCTACCTGTTCCCAGAGCTGTCCGCCTTTGCTACAGTCGCCGACCTCGTCACTCACCTTCGCACTAGTGACGTCCGCTACCGAGCCGCGCTTCCCGCCAATTTTCTAGCGAAGAAACCTCCTCCCATGTACATCACGCTCTACTACATTGTCACCCGCCTCCCTGACTCTCTTAGCGCAGTCAAGGACCTCCTTCTCGCCCTTGACCCCACTGCCCTCACTGTCGACCTGCTCGAGAAGCACCTCCTTGCAGCTGAGACTAGCATAGTCGCTGTAGGCGCTTCTCGTGGCACTCCTCGCACTCCCTTCTTTGAGGGGTGTTCCCCCTCCCCCCTTGTCCCCTCAGTCGCCTCAGCTGCAGCTGTTGACTACCTTCAAGATGAGGAGGTAGGAGCCGCGTCTGCTCCTAGTGGGAGGCGCCGCAACGGCAAGGGCAAGGGAGGCAGGGGTGGTGGGGGTGGCAGCGGTGGAGGCGGTGGTGGGGGCGGTGGGGGCGGTGGAGGTGGCGGTGGTGGTGGAGGGAGTGGTGGCGGGGGTGGAGGCGTAGGTGGCGGCGGTGGTGGCGGCAGTGCGAGTGGTGGCGACAGCAGTGGTGGCGGCAGTGGGAGTGTAGGCGGCGGCAGTGGTGGCGGCCGGGGTGGTACCGGCCAACGGGGAGGCTTTGGCGGTGGTCAGAGGCAGCAGCAGTAGCGTCAGCGTGAGACCCCTTCGCCTCAGGAGCTTCATGAGTGGTTTGCTTAGCGTGGGGCGGCTGGGGGTGGAGGTCGCTGCCCGTATGTCATTCGCACAGGTGACCGCTCTGGTCAGACATGCGGGAAGCTTCACACCCAGTACCGCTGCTTCTCCCGTCTTGACGACGCCTTTCGCGCAGAGTTTCCCGACGCTGCTGAGCTCCCCCGCTGGGCAGAGCTGCTTAGGCAGGGTGTGGATATCTTTTCTCTTGATTATGATGCTATCCTTGCTGCCATGTATGCATTGACTGCTAGTGCTGAGGGTGACTGTTACCTGTGTATGCCGCCAGACCCAGGTATAGAGGCTCTAGGTGCTAGTGAGTCTGCTCTCTCTGGTACTGCGTCTGCTGCGGCCTTGCACACCTTCACGCTTGACTCAGGTGCTTCCCGCTGTTTCTTTCGCGACAGTACCACAGTCACACCGCTCTCTGCACCTGTTGCTGTCTCTCTGGCCGACCCCTCTGGGGGCCCAGTCCTTGCACGTTCCTCCACTGTTCTCCCGTGTCCGGCGGTTCCGTCTGGCTCACTGTCAGGTCTTCATCTCCCCTCGTTCTCCACGAACTTGGTGAGCAACGCCGTCCTTCAGGATGAGTGGGTTGATACCTTCACCCCTGGAGGACAGTGTGTGGCGATCTGTACGTGCTCCCGGACTGGCCGGCACCTGGCCACGTTCACCCGTCGGCCTGGGTCGAGTCTGTACACAATGACTACTGCGCCTCAGATAGCTGCGTCTGCGTCTGCGTCAGGTCAGCTGTCGGCCCCCTGCTCGTGTCGCGCCCTGTCGCACCGGACGCTCCTTTGGCACCACCGCCTTGGTCACCCCTCCGTGCCACGCCTCCGTGGCATGCACTCACGTCTCCTTGTCTCTGGTCTTCCCAGGTCTCTACCGCCCCTCCCACCCTCGCCTGCCCCTCCCTGCCTTCCCTGTGTCGAGGGCCGGCAGCGCGCCGCTCCTCACTCCTCCTCGTTTCCCCCGACGACTGCTCCCATGCAGACTCTCCACATGGACGTGTGGGGTCCAGCCCGCATCCGTGGACAGGGCCGCGAGCGCTACTTTCTGCTGGTTGTTGACGACTACACGCGTTACACCACGGTCTTCCCCTTGCGCAGCAAGGGGGAGGTCCCTGATCTTTTGATCCCTTGGATCCGCGCTGTCCGTCTCCAGCTCCGTGAGCGGTTCGAGACGGTCATTCCCGTCCTGCGTCCGCACTCTGACAGAGGTGGTGAGTTTTCCTCCGACCTCTTGCGAGACTTTTGTCGTGGGGAGGGCATTCGCCAGACGTTCACGCTTCTGGCCTCTCCGCAGCAGAATGGGGTTGCTGAGCGCCGCATTGGCTTAGTCATGGAGGTCGCTCGTACCTCCATGATCCATGCGGCTGCCCCCCATTTTCTATGGCCGTTTGCGGTCCGATACGCTGCGCATCAGCTCAACCTCTGGCCCCGTGTCTCCTTGCCGGAGACCTCGCCGACACTGCGTTGGACGGGAGAGGTTGGCGATGCGTCGGTGTTCCGGGTCTGGGGATCTCGTGCCTTTGTCCACGATACTTCCGCGGACAAGCTCTCCTCCCGTGCCATTCCCTGTGTCTTCCTTGGCTTTCCCCCTGACGCGCCTGGCTGGCAGTTTTACCACCCCACCTCGCGCCGTATCCTGCCCTTTCAGGACGTCACGTTTGACGAGTCGGTTCCCTTTGACCGTCTCTTCCCCTACCGCACTGCCCCTCTCCCTCCCCCGCCGCTCTTCCTCGCACCGGGTCCTCCTCCGGTAGACCCCCTCCCCCCTCAGGGTCCTGCTCCCTCAGGTGTGTCCCAGGTAGACCCTGTCGAGCCTGTCGAGGTAGCTGTCGACTCTGGTGCTGCTAGGGGTGCTGCGTCTGGGGGTGCTGAGCCTGCGTGTACGGGGCCTGGGGGTGCTGAGCCTGAGCGTGCGGAGCCTGGGGGTGCTGAGCCTGGGGTTGCTGAGTCTGAGGGTGCGGAGCCTGGGGGTATTGAGTCTGAGCGTGCGGAGCCTGGAGGTGCTGAGCCTGGGGGTGCTGAGCCTGAGCGTGCTGAGCCTGGAGGTACTTTGTCTGCTGGAGGTCCTACGGGTGTCTCGTCACGGCGGGAGCCTCTCTCTCCACCGCAGCTGCGCGAGTGGTTTGCTCGACGCTGGAGCCTCCGGAGTGGCGCTGCTGGAGCTGGGGGGCCTGCCGCTGGAGGCCCTGGAGCTGGAGGCACTGGAGCTGCTGGTCCCGGAGGTGCTCGTCCTGGAGGTACTTGAGCTGCTGGAGCTGGAGGTGCTACAGGCACTGGAGCTGGAGCTGCTGGAGGTGCTGGAGCCGCTGAGCCCGGAGGTGCTCGTACTGGAGGTACTGGAGCTGCTGGAGCTGGAGGTGCTACAGGAGTTGGAGCTGGAGCTGCTGGAGCTGGAGCTACTGGAGGTGCTGGGGCCGCTGGTCCCGGAGGTGCTCGTACTGGAGGTACTGGAGCTGCTGGAGCTGGAGGTGCTGCAGGAGTTGGAGCTGGAGCAGCTGGAGCTGGAGCTGCTGGAGGTACTGGAGCCATGAACTCACATTTGTTGGCATGCCATCGCAGATGGATCAACCCTAAACGACATGTGACAATATGTTTAGGGTTGATGCCTCCTGAACGGCATGCCATTCGGATGGGTTTTGGTTCTTTTGCCCGCCAACAATCTCCGTCGTTGATGCGACCTTCATTTTATATTTAAAACCGGAGTCCCAAACAGGCCAAAACTGCCTCGAACTTCCTAACTTTGGTAAGGTGTGACCCAGTACATACTGACTCAAACTTCCTAACTTCGAAAACCTTCGGGCAAAATTTCGCCACGCGAAATTACTTGACGATAGAAGTGACGATTTCGTAAACAGATTTCGCGCCCATCCGAAACTAGTTGCGAACGAACTTTGACGTTGCATTCCAGATCTGGTTACAATCGCGAGGTTTTCATAATTTGCGACCCACACCCACAAATTTCGACAGCACCCTGGTTCGCGAGCCAGTCACGTTTCTTGGCCCTAGCAACCTTCCTAAGAAACTCTTGGACCCCGGGTTTTAAAATGCCAACAATTTCCGTTTCCAACTAGAACTTGACTTCAATCCGAGGTCGATCAAATTGGGGTGAGCCAAGTCGCAAGGCACGCACGGCGAATAGGGTCGACGGTTGTGAGAATGGTCAGTAGCAATTCCGCCAGATGAATCTTCCACGCCCGCTTATTGGCGGTCCCTCACACCCTCATCCCCAACACAAGAAACTTCTGTGCTGTTTATAAGTTCTGACATTTTGTTTAGCCCTTACCCACGACAACTCGAGTTTCCCACACAAGTCTAGACTCAGCCAACGAAGCAGCCTTTTCGCCTGACCACGCCGACTGCGATGGCCGTGCGACTGCCGCCCGTCGCAGGGGTCGCAGATCCCACCCCCCGCACCGTGTGCGAAATCCAAGGACCAGCACCCACCCTCCGGCGCCTAGCAGCGGCGCCTGCACAGCGGTCCTTGCGACCATGGCCGTCGGCGCTGGTGGTCGTACCTTGCGTGCCACCAACGCCGTCGTCGCTATCGTCGCCATCGTCGTCGCCGTCATCGGCGGCGTCGTGGGCTGTAGCGCCTCTCAGATCGACGGCGCTCGTGCACGCGCCAATACGATGCCGCCAGGCCATAGTGAGTCGCTGTCGCTCAGGAATTCCGACACTGTCTTCCGCCGGCGGCGGTGGCGGCGATGACGGCGACTCAGGAAATGAGGTCCTGACGAGGAATCTGGCGAGGATTGACGAGGCTGTGAGGCGAAGAGCTGTCCGTTGAGTGGGTGAGGCGGAATGCTCTTGTCCTCTCTTCCTCTCTCGCCGCTCCTCTTCCCTCATCTCCCCCGTTCCCTTCCATGCCTTCACCACAGCGCCGCCTGTCAGTGCACGTGGTGTCAGTGCACGTGGTGTCAGTGCACGTGGTGTCAGTGCACGTGGTGTCAGTGGGCCGCCGGTTCACTGGCAGGGCATGCAGCTGCTAGTGAAGGACTACACTCTCTCCCCCTCTCCCTGCCCTTTTCGCATCCCCCCCATCTCCTTCCCCCCCTCCCTGCGCCATTTGCCAGTGCGTGTGATGTCGGTGGGCAGGCATCGCTCACAGGGCACACAGCCGCTTGTGACCTATCCTTTACCCTCTCCCATCTGCTCCCCTCTTCTCCTCTCCCGTTACATCGCCCCCCTCCCAGCGCCGCCTGCCAGTGCGGGTGATATCAGTGGACCAGCACCGCTCACAGGGCGCACAGCTGCTCCTCAAGCACCACGCGCTCCCCCCTTCCTTGCCTCTTCCGCATCTCCTCTCCAACCCCCCCCCTCACCCTTCTGCCTCCCCCTCCTTGCAGCGCCGCCTGCCAGTGCGGGTGATATCAGTGAACAGGTATCGCTCACAGGGCGCACAGCTGCTCCTCAAGCACCACGCGCTCCCCCCTTCCTTGCCTCTTCCGCATCTCCTCTCCAACCCCCCCCCTCACCCTTCTGCCTCCCCCTCCTTGCAGCGCCGCCTGCCAGTGCGGGTGATATCAGTGAACAGGTATCGCTCACAGGGCACACAGCCGCCAATATAGGTCTCCACCCTTCCCCCCCCTGCGTGCCCCTTCCGCATCTCCCCCACCCCCTTTCCACCTCCCAGCGCCGCCTGCCAGTGCGGGTGATATCAGTGGGCCGGCACCGCTCACAGGGCACACAGCTGCTCGTGAAGGACTATGCGGAGAAGATTTCCCGCTACTGCCCGTTTGAGGACCTGCCCGTACGCTCCAACCCCAAGGGGACCAGGTATGCGCTACTTCGGTACGGGCAGGTGAAACTTCAGAAAGGTTGCCCTGGGCCTCATCCTGTGTGCCACTCACCCACACTCACATTGCGAAGCTGTTTGGAGCATTGGTTCTCATTCTCCACTCTGCCCTTGGTTGATGTCTTCACAAATCCCTCCATTTCCTTCTTCTCTCCTTTGCCGCTGCTCCACCTGCTGCTCCAACTGCTGCTCTCACTGCTGCTCTCACTGCCACGGCTGCTGCTGCGGGTAGGCAGTGACGTGCGAGTGCAGGTGGAGGCGGAGGGCGACCGGGTGCTCAAGGCGCTGCACCCCCATGACTGGGTGAGCTCCCATCGCAATTGCCTCATCTGAGTGTGAGCAAAGGGGCCTCAATGCGTGATCCAGGGAAAAGCTCCCTTGCGTGGGCGATCTTCTTCCAACTGTGTGGAGTGGCACTTTCACTCACTCTCGCATGAAACAACAACAACCTTAATGTTGTGCAGAGGCAACAGCAACCAGTGAAAGTGGCAGCAGCAGCAGTTACTGGTGGGTGCTTGCACTTTCAGACTGTGTTCCGGCGTAGAGGAAGTGCGTGCATTCTCAGGCATTTCCAGCGCTATCAGGTGCACCTGCCTCTCTGCCCCCTCTCTCTTCACCCCTCCCTTGGATGTGAAACTTCTCCTGCTCCACCACCCTCTCCCCGCCCTGCCAGGTGATGCTGCTGGACGGGCGAGGCCGCACTGGCATGGCATCGCAACCAGGAACCCAAGCTGTGTGGCGCTGTAGCATCAGCCGCGCCCCACTTCCCCCCTTATGTGCTGCTGCTCGTGCTCCTCATTCCCCCTTGCCCCGCCAGGTGGTGCTGCTGGACGAGCGGGGTCGCACAGTGACCTCGGAGCAGCTGGCGCAGCTCATTGCCGACTGTGCTGATGCCGTGAGCGGTGCTGTGCTGTGCTGTGGTGCGGTGATGGGAGAGACATGTCACACCCCGTGGATGCCTGTGCTGTCATGCACCTATGCCCACCCACCCATGCCCACCCATGCACCCATGCCCACCCACCCATGCCCACGCATGCACCTATGCCCACCCACCCATGCCCACGCATGCACCTATGCCCACCCACCCATGCCCACGCATGCACCTATGCCCACCCACCCATGCCCACGCATGCACCTATGCCCACCCACCCATGCCCACGCATGCACCTATGCCCACCCACCCATGCCCACGCATGCACCTATGCCCACCCACCCATGCCCACGCATGCACCTATGCCCACCCACCCATGCCCACGCATGCACCTATGCCCACCCACCCATGCCCACGCATGCACCCATGCCCACCCACCCATGCCCACGCATGCACCTATGCCGATCCATGCACCTATGCCCACCCATGCACCTATGCCCACCCATGCCCATCCATGCACCACAGTGCATCAGCTGCACCTTTCTGGCCTCCTTCCTTCAACTCGCCCTCCCTCCCTCCCTCCCTCCCTCCCTCCCTCCCTCCCTCCCTCCCTCCCTCCCTCCCTCCCTCCCTCCCTCCCTCCCTCCCTCCCTCCCTCCCTCCCTCCCTCCCTCCCTCCTTATCATTTGCCTTCCCTCCCCGGTGTGGCCTACCTCTCGTATTAAATCCCACCAGCCGCACCGCTCGCTGACATTCGTGGTGGGGGGGCCGTACGGCCACGGGTCACACGTGGCAGCGAGGGCCAACAGCAGCATTCGCCTCTCATCGCTCGTGCTCAACCATGAGGTGGCTTTGGTGGTGCTGGCAGAGCAGCCCCAATGGCTGCTTGGTAGTTGCTGACAACACGTGTTGCCATGTCAAGACCCAACACCGTATAGACAAGATAGGGCACAGGGATCACACTTCACCTACTTCCTCTCCTCCCCGCCCAGTCGCCTGCGAACCTCCTCCTCTTCCTCCTGGCTGGGTCGCAGAAACCACCGCTTCACCTGCGCTGACGCCCCCTTCACCTGCCACGGCGGATGGCAGGCCAGTGGCAGGGAGGGTGGGGGGAGGAGGGGAGCGGGAAGAAGTGGGAGGGGGGAAAGGGGCAACAGCAGACGAGGGATGGTGTGGCCTCCACGAGGGGGATCCTGGGGGAACCTCTCGTTCGTTTTCTCCTCCTCGCCGCCTCCCATAAGGACTCTCCTCTCCCCCTCCTTGCCCTCTCTTAGCCGCCGTGCTGCCTCCTCGCTGCGATGTACTGTGCAGCTGGCAGAAGAGATGGCAGGAACGGTGGAAGGCGGGGTGGAAGGACGGTGGTGAAAAGAGGCTTGGGGAGGAGGGGGGACGAAAAGGGGTTTGGGGGAGAGGGGAAATGAAGGGGCGAGGGTTCGGAGAGCGAGTTTGCGAGGTGTGGAAGCGGGAGTGAAGGGCGAGGGAGGTGAGGATGGGGCAGGTCGTGCAAGGAAGGGTTAGCAGGGCCACTTGGCACGGTGCCATCTGCCGCTCCTCACACAGCCTCGAGCACACACTTGACTTGCAGCCGTGGCGCTCGCAGGGAGTTGCCAAGTTCCCATGCCATGCCATGCCATGCCAACCACTCAGTGCGCGTGCCGCAGCGCATATGGTTGCGCTCTTGCGACGTCATGGAGCTCAGCGCGCATCGCCAACGACGGCCGCCACATTCACAAGTCTCTTTTCTTTGAGGCGCCTCAAAAAACTTTTCCGTACACACAGTAGGGGACTGCAAGGCCCCTCTGCAGCGCTCTCTCGGAGGCCCCTCCGCGGAAACCCCCTCTTCAGAGCCTTTGTTATCGAGTCGCCTCAAAACGAGGAGGTATGGGGGCGACCGACGCGCGACTCACATCATCGAGCACGGTCTTCTTGCCGCCATAGTCGCCGTAATCGGCGTACAGCGTCAGCACTCCCGCCGCTGCCGTCGCCACCACCGCCAGCGCCTTTATCCGGAACTCGAACTTCCGGTCCATTGCCTGCGACGGCCGCAATTTCGGAAGCTGCGATGGTCGCTCCGACGGGTCTGCGCGACTGTAACAGTATCGACTAACTACATGCACGCCACGCTAAAGAGTACGCACAGACTCGCAAGCTAGCCGCGCGATTCGGGACTATGATCCAATTGGTTCGAGAAAACTAGCCGCACAGGTGGGCGCGGGCGTAGGGGAAGCGGAATCCAAACCGTGTGGGGTCGAAGTTTTGAATGCAATGACTTGATATTGAGTACCCCGTTTTCTACGACAGGGAATCAGCTGATTTGTGAATCAAATTGACATCACAAGAGTGCTATACCAGAGTATTCGGATAATCAACCCAGCAGGATCTGGGGAGGCTGCTCTATTCGCACTCCGTCCCCCACGAATCACTCCCCTTCGACGGAAATACTCGTGTGGCTCTGACGGATGCAGCGAGAGGCGCCGTCAATTCTATTCACAACCGTAACGCTGTCCGTCCCGTGCTTCGTTAGTCGCTGTGATCATCGCCTATTGGCTGCCGCTCGGCGCACGAAGCGTCCATCGTCGCGTATCGACAGTAAATCGACGCGCTCTCGCAGATTTCGCCTGCCGCCTGTCGCAAGTCAGCTTCGCCTGTCGCCCGTCGTCTGTCGTCTGACGTCATGATGGACGTCAGCACTATCGAGGACGCCCTCGCCCGCCTCGTTAAGAGGCACGGCGCCGTACGCGCTAAGGAGCTCGCGCTGCTCGACAAGGTGGAGCAGGCGCTGGAGCAGACGCATGCGGCGCTTCAGGCGGAGCTGCAGGCGGAAACGGCGGAACGCGCGGAGGGATTGGCGGAGCGCGGGGAAAAGGGGGAAATTGTGAGTGATGCGAGTGGTGACGTGGCAACGGACATCACCAGGCCTGGCCACCCCAGTGCTACTCTCGACAGCAACCCTGGCTGCCGAGCCGCTGTGTCGAGCCTGCTGTCCAGGCTCGGCAGCCTAGGTCCGGAAAAGGAGATAGCAACGCTGCATCGGGAACTCCACGGGGCAGTGGCGCGGCTGAGCAAGGCTGTGGAGCGGGAGAAGGAAAAGGGCACGTTCGTGGCTGATATCGGAGGTGCTTATAGAGAGGCCGTGCAGTTCGACCCCGTTATAGTGAACCGCGAGATCGCGAAGCATCTGTTCCGCCAAGGGCTGCTCGCCGTGGCGGACGCGCTCGTGGCGGAGGCGGGTCTGGGGGACGCGGGGGGAGGGGCGAGGGGGGAGGTGGGGGAGGAAGCGGAGGAAGGAGAGGTGCGGGAAGGAGAGGAGGATGGGGAGGAAGGGGAGGCGATGGAGGAGGAGGGGAAGGGGGAGGAGCGGATGGAGATAGCGGGGGGCGCAGGGGCGGAGGCGAACATAGAAAGGGGGAGCAACGTGGGGACGGGGAGCAGCAGCGGAGGGGGGAGTGCAGGGGAGGGCGTGGGGGGCTTGTGGGGGGAAGGCGTGTCTGGGCGGGGTGGAATGGCGCGCCTTTCATGGTCAGCGCGGAGGAGAATGATGTCTGCCAGTGGCGTGGGGGGAGGTGGCGCGGGGGCCAGGGCTGGGGGAGAGGCGAGGGGCAAGGATGGGGGAGCGGTGGGCGCGCAGGGGGGCGCAGGTGCAGTGGCAGGGGGGGAGGGGAGGGGCGGAGGTGGGGGCGTGGGCGAGGGAGTGAGCTTGCAGGAGCACCGGCGCAGGTACGGCGCCATGCATGCCATCCTGCACGCTATCCGAGCCAAGGACCTCGGTCCGGCGCTGGCTTGGGCGGCGCAGCATCGGGAGGAGCTGCAGCGGGAAGTTGCCGGGGGGTTTCCGGACGTGAAGGTGGGAGGGGGGGAGGGAGGGAAGGCGGTGGTTGGAGGGCTGAAGACAAGCTCTCTGGAGTTTGAAGTTCATCGACTGCAGTTTCTGAATCTTCTACAGGAGCAGCAGAAACAGCTTATATGGAAGCAACAGCAGCAGCAAAAGGAAGGCTCGTTTCCCATGTCTGATCCTGCCATTGACGACAGCAACGGCCAATCACGGCCTGCCACCTCGGCAGCACTCCAATACGCGCGCCAGCACTTCCCGCCATTCGCCGCCACCCATCTCCCCGACATCCAACGCCTCATTTGCGCTCTCCTGTGGGTTGGGCGGCTGAATTTGTCCCCATATGCCGACCTCCTGCCACTCACTGCCGCCCACTGGGATCAGATCGCCGCCCGGTTCACCGCAGACTACTGCGCCGTCGAGTGCCTCGAATCCGCCGAAAGCCCATTGGCTGTCGTGGTGGCTGCGGGCGGCGAGGCCCTCCCAATGCTGATAAAGCTTGCCGCCCTGCTGAACCACAGCAGCGGGATTGGCAGCGGGGGAGGAATCAGCCGATCAGGCGGCAGCACCACCACTGCTGCTACCACTCCTACTACTGCTGCTGCTGCTGGTACAGGCGGCAGCAGCAGGAGGGTGGCACGGGACTGGCAGGGCATGGAGCAGCTGCCAGTGGAGATCGAGCTGCCACGCGCCTTCCACTTCCACTCCATCTTCGCCTGCCCTGTCTCCCGTGAGCCCGCCTCCTACCCCGACAACCCGCCCGTGCTGCTGCCCTGTGGCCACGTGGTGTGCCGTGCCTCCGTGCTCAAGCTCGCCAAGGGCGCCACGCGCCCCTTCAAGTGCCCCTACTGCCCGCTGGAAACCGCGCCGCTTGACTGCCGCCCCATCCAGTTCTAGAGTGCAAACATTCTGCTGCTCTTGCTGCTGCTCATCCTGCTGGCAGCAGTGCTGAGCATCGCCTAAGGTGTGTCGCGCCGCTGCAAGACCATGTCCTTCCGATGGCCGCCCCATCCAGTTTTAATCCTGTATCCTTCACCACCCTGCTGCTCCGTCAAGCGCCCCTACAGCCTACTCTACACCACGCTGCTCAACTGCCCTCCCCTTCCACTTCTACAGTTCGCCAAACCTCCCCCTCCCCTTCTCCACCCCCTATCTCGCCCTTTTACCCCACCCCGCCCACCCCTTCTCCGCCCTTTCCCTCTCACACGCTAGGCTTGGATGTATCATTGCTTTACACGAGTGTGTGTACAGTTGACCCCCACGTGCTCCCTGGAGTGGAGACCTCGCCTCTTGACTGCCCCCCATCCAATTCCCATCGCTCCTCACTCGCCCTTGAGTGAGACAGAAGAGCAGGGTTGGGGAGAGAGGAAGGGGGGGGTGCAGCGTGTGTTGCTGTGGTAGAAAGGGAGAAGTGTGCGTTGCTGAGTGTGTAGCAGTGAATGGAGTGGTGTCATGTCCTGACACGGGGGGGTTGTCTGACCCGTGCCAGTACCAGTGCCAGTGCCAGGGATGCTGCTTGCAGGGAGCAGTAGGGAGGAATTCAGGGAGCAGATGGGCAGATGGAGTGCCAAGTGCCACGTTAGTGAAGCGCATGTTGGGTTGTGCTGAAGTGAGTACTTAGGAAAGCTACCTCGTGAGATTGTTCATACGGTACCCTTGTAATTTGAGTGCTTGTACAGTTGAATATGCAGGTATGGAGTAGGGAGAAAGCCTGGAGGCAGGCCCTATTTTTTCAGTGTAAATTACTCTGTTTCTTTGAAAATCAGTGTTTTTGGGGGGGGTGCGCCTATAAATGAGTCACGGGCATAAGCGCATGCGCTTTGTCAGAATGTGATGTTTGTGTAGCCTGCAGTGGGGTACTCTGTAGCGAGTACAGCCCGAATTAGGGTTTGCTATATGTACTCAACTGCATGCTAGTGAAAACCCCTCTTTCGTGTTTATCGTTTTAGCCTGCTATTCCGACATGCTATCAGAGCAGGTCGACCCTCCTGGGTCGATCCTGTGGGTGGGCCCCACCCAATGCTTCCGCTGCGGTTTCCTGCTGTCCCCTGCCTGCCGCGCGCTCCGGGCGCGCGGCGATTTTTCATCCCGCCGCGCGCTCGGGGCGCGCGGCGGTTTTCTGCCCCGTCGAACCGCGCGTCGCCCCCTGTCGACCGTCGCGTCGCCCCCCGTCGCCCGACGCGGCCCGCGCGACCTGCGCCAGGCCCGCGCGCGACCCGTACGGGCTGCGCCAGGCCCGCACGCGGCCCGTACAGCCCGCGCGCGGCCCGTACGGGCTGCGCCAGGCCCGCGTGCGGCCCGTACGGGCTGCGCCAGGCCCGCGCACGGCCCGTACGGGCTGCGCCAGGCCCGCGCGCGGCCCGGGCAGCCCGCGTGCGGTTCGTCCCGAGCTTCTGACCGCGCCCCACCCCCGCTGCTGCCCGCGCTCCTGTGTTAGGGTTTGGGGGTGGAGAGTATGGGGGTGCCGGGTGTGTGAGCCGTCCCCTGCTCCTCCTCCTCCTCCGTCTCCCACTGCTGCAGCTGCCGCTGAGGGGGGTGGATGTGTTGGAGCCGTCGGAGTGGTACGAGGGGGGTGGCGTGTGAGCGGTGCTAGTGGTTCAGCAGGGAGTGTGTGAAAGGGGTGTGGGACAGTTGGGGGAGGTTGACAGGAGGTGGCCGTTGTGACGTCTGCAGCGCCAGTAGTCCGGGGGTTGAGTACTCCGGTAGGCCAGCGAGCCTGCTGCTGCCAGTCGCCCGTGGGTCTGTTGCTCCTGCTGCTGCTTAGCGCGGAGCCAGTTACTCCTGTAGTCCGGAGGTTGAGTGCTCCGGTAGCCACCGTGCGCGCCGTTCCTGTTGCCCGTGTGTCTGCGGCTTCACCCGTCGCCTTCTATCTTCACTCCTCTCACAGTCTCTCCTCCTCCTCACTTGCCCTCTGTGACTGCCTCCAGCTTTGCTTATCATTGTGGACTATTGCTCTATGACTGCTTGTTGTGTTGATTGTACCCCCACTTTGACTATGGGGGTGTGTCAGAATGTGATGTTTGTGTAGCCTGCAGTGGGGTACTCTGTAGCGAGTACAGCCCGAATTAGGGTTTGCTATATGTACTCAACTGCATGCTAGTGAAAACCCCTCTTTCGTGTTTATCGTTTTAGCCTGCTATTCCGACACGCTTATATAATGACAAATACAGAAATATGTTTTAAGCGCACCAAATTGTTCATCTTAGTCTTGTGATTCCAATCGAATCGAAATATTAGTGCGTCTTAGATCAGAATCGCGCGAGGGCGATTGATTCCCCCCCCCCCCCCCCCACGTGCGTGCTGTCAGCCAGCCAGCTTCGTGCCGTTTCGCGCGAGGGCGATTTTTTGCCTCTTCGCCCCCCCCCCACGTGCGTGCTGTCAGTCCCGTTCGTGCCGTATAGCTTTTCCCGCCCTTACCGAACCGAACGGGCGAGTATGTTGGCCGACTTGTCGAGGGTGTCAAAGCAAAGGACGTAGACTCGCTGCAAAGCGGAAAATCGTTACGGTACCTAATCAGGAATAAAATAAAATTATGCATGCGCTTATAATAAGTAAAGATTTCACAGGGGGTGCGCTTATAATTGAGGATCGGGCATAAGCGAATTGCTCCATATATAAGCGCATGCGCTTTTAATAGGCCTGCGGTTATATCCGGGGCGATACGGTAGTTTTTGAAAGTAAACTCTGGACCTGCTGGGTAAATTTTAGAGAGTTAAAGAACGAGTACAGCATGGTAATTTTCAAGTTCAAGATTCTTGAACTTGAAGTCGCCAAAAACAGGGTTACCCTGCTTGTTTTGAAAAAACTCTCGCGACCCCGGGCAATCGTCCTGCGACAACGGAACCCGAGTGCCCAAAACCAGAACTGACGCGATGATCGCCAACCATATGCATTGTTCACCACTCACATAACTTGCTTACCAAGTAGTACTCATAGGCTAGGAGGCTCCAAGGCAAAAACTAGCGCTAGTTGGCAAAAGCGAGTCGTTGATAGTTTTTTTTTTTTTTTTTTGCGGAAAGAAATATAAGTCCACCTCAACCATCTTAGTCAGTGCACGCTCCGATCTCTCCCTCGCGTCACCAGTCTCGTGTTACAACTCTCCTTCCTGCCACCCTCAGCCCTCCTTCCCCTCACCCTCTCCCCTGTTCCCACCTGCCCTCCCCATCCCCGCCTTTCCCTCCCTTCCCTGCCCTTCCCTTCTCCACCCCTTCTCAACCCTTCCCTTTTAAGTCATGCCCTCCCCTTCCCCCTCACCTTCCGCCCTCTAGTTCCCATGCATGTGCACCCATCACTGTCTCCCCATACCAGTACATGCTTTCATCATGTGCGCTTGCTTGTGTTCCCCTGCAGTTGTTCCCTTGGCACCTCACACCACCCCCCCCATGTTTCGTCACACAATTCTTTCTGCCTACTCCACTCCCAAATTTTCAGTGGTGAAGCAGAGGAGCAAGCTGAGGCGCAGCTAGAGCTAGTCCATGCTTTACACCGTACCACCACCTGTTTCTTGCCTGTTGTATGCAAGCATGATACCGTATTACTGTTGGAGATATCCATATCAAAAGCACAATATGTAATTTTGTTTTCTGCAGTGCAATATATTCTTCCAAGATGCATGGGCACTAAGGGCGTGTTCCTACGGCCTCATATCAGGAAACCTCGTATCAAGAATGTACCTTTTGCCTGGTAAAACTAGCGAGAGGTTTTGGGTTTAGGGAAATTTTCAGTGTGAGCCTGATACGAGGTTGTCTTGATACGAGGATAGGAACACGCTCTAAGAGTGTCAGAAGGGTAGATAGAGGCATGATCCTGATACTTTTGATTTTACCCTTCTCAAGGCCTTGAAAAAAACATGAGGGGAACTGGTTTCACTACGAGCGTGGCATGGGATGATGGGCTTCGGCGAGTTGCTGTGCCAGAAAATTTTCATTGGTGTCACTGCACTACCCAGGGAGAGGGAGGGAATACGAGGGATGGGGAGGGGGAACAAGACTAAAGTCAAACAGGGGAGATAGGGAAGAGGGGGAAGAGGGAAGCAGGGCTGAGAGGGAAAAAAGGAAGTACCGTAAGAAGAGGGAGGGAAATGAGGGGAAGCAAGGGGGGAACTGAGGAGAAGCAGGGAGGGAAATGTGGGGAAGCACGGATGAGGGGAAGAAAGGGTGGGCCATGGGCCTAGAGGGCCGTGAGAGAGGGGGGGGGGGGGGTGGACTTGAGGGACGGGAGTGGCAGGCTGGAGGGGAGCAGGAGAGGAGGAGGGGAGTGGCATGGGGAGCAGAGCAGAGCAGCATTGCGACCTGCCTGCAGCGTCATCCCCCACGGCGGAGATGAGGAAGGGCGCGGCGGAGAGTGCTGCCATGCACTCCGCTATGTTGTGCGCCACCCCCCCTGCGAGGAGGAACAGGGGAATGGCGCGGCTGGTAGAGAGAAAGGAAGGAGGAGGGGGGGAGGGGGAGAGGGGGAGGGGCGGGACACACATGAGAGGTTGAGACATGCCGCAGTGGACGACACCCCTCCCTCGAATTCCTTTCTCCTGCCCTTTCTCCCTGCCTCATGCGGGAGGAAGAAAACGGGTGGGGGAAAGGGAGGAAGGGGACAACCATGAGGGGTAGGGGTTGGAAAGGGGCGGGGGCGGGTGGAGGTTTGGCGAGAAGGGGAATAGGAACCAGAGGATAGGGCGCAGAGCATTGGGCGCAGAGCATAGGGCGCAGAGCATAGGGAGCAGAGCATAGGGCGCAGAGCATAGGGCGCAGAGCATAGGGCGCAGAGCATAGGGTGCAGAGCATAGGGCGCAGAGCATAGGGCGCAGAGCATAGGGCGCAGAGCATATGGCGCAGAGCATAGGGCGCAGAGCATAGGGCGCAGAGCATTGGGGGCACAGCATAGGGCGCAGAGCGCAGGGCGCAGAGCATAGGGCGCAGAGCGCAGGGCGCAGAGCGCAGGGCGCAGAGCGCAGGGCGCAGAGCGCAGGGCGCAGAGCGCAGGGCGCAGAGCGCAGGGCGCAGAGCGTAGGGCGCAGAGCGTAGGGCGCAGAGCGCAGAGCAGAGGGGGCAGAGCGCAGGGGGCGGAGGGGGCAGAGCGCAGGGGGCAGAACGCAGAGCGGAGGGGGCAGAACGCAGAGCGCAGGGGACAGAGCGCAGGGGGCAGAACGCCGGGGGCAGAACATAGAGCGCAGGGGGCAGAGCGCAGAGTGCAGGGGCGCGGAGCACGTGTACCTGTCCTGGCGTGGTGGTGCCTCGTTCCAGCGCCCTCTCCACGCTGCTTGTCGACCAGACCAGTGCGCGCGCTGGACGTTTGCGGGTCGACGCGCTGCTAGACGACCAGTGACGTTTCCGTAACCCTAAGGATCTGCGTAGTGTGGACGCCCCACAGCGTGGAATTGCCCTAAGTAATAGGCACTTTCGAGCCCAGTTTACGGGAGCAATGCCCCGAAACCGTCGACCTACGTGCTGCCAGTGGTAATCGACGTGCCTAATACAACACGAAGTACTCCCATATCGCGCGATGTCGAGTTCTTCTCAACGCTCCTTCCTGCGACCCAGCATGTACGTGTTCTGGCTCGTCACCTACGTCACCTCCTTCCTGCGGTTATTTCACACGTGAAGTTGTTAGCTTGATTGATCGTGGTGTTTTTTCTCCTCACTCGTTCTGAGGTTGTGGTGCTTCCCGTTTTCGTTTTTGCTAGTAGTTGCATTGGGCGAGGATGTTCTCCACTTCTTGATCCTGATTGGTCAAAGAACAATCCGTGCGACACTCATTCCAGTCGCCCCACACTGCCCTGCAAGTTTGTCAAAGCTTTGCGTTTGGCTAGACCCCTTTCCTCCTCGTCAATCAATCGCTTTTTCGCTACACTGACTATGCCGAAATAATTATTTTTCAGGTTTCGCCAACACTATTTCAAACCCACACAACTTGATAAAACACCATGTGGTACTCGGGCTTTAAAATTGTTAAACTTATGTTTATTATATAAATTGTTTGCTGTAGCTACTGTAGTGTTTGTGGTATTTCTTGTAGATGGTGCACCTTCCTTGTTTCCTATTTGTACCTTGCTCAATAGTGAAACCTCCTCTTTGCCAATTCTCTCGCCATGCTCACCCTCGACACTAATGCTTCCTAGGCAAACCCTAGGTCACTAAGTCAAGAGTTAAGAGCCTATTTTGACATGGTATCAGAGCCGGTCCCTCCTAGGACCTAATCATCATGGGCCCACCAAACCCGCCATCGTCCATGGCGGTCTACTGTTCTGTTGTCGTGGTTCCTACTGCCAGTAGCGTGATATTTGCACATGCTGGCGCTGTTTTTGCTACACCTGTCGCGCTGCACCCATCGCGCTGCCCAGTCGCCCCGTCGTCCCGTCGCCTCGTCACCCGCCTTGTCCCGCGCTGCTCCGCCCCTCGTCCCGTTACGAGCAGCCGGAGGAGCCATGCACAGCCGCACGCAGCTGCGTACGGCCGCGTGAAGCCGCGCACAGCCGAGCGCAGCCGCGTACGGATGCGCGCAACTGCGCCGCTCCCCTGCCCCGCACCTGCTGCTCGTACGCCAGTGAAAGGGGGGGGGGGGGGTGTCAGAATGAGAGAAGTGGCTGAACTAACAACATTGGGAGTACAAGTAGGAAAACCTAGAAAGTTGTACCCCCTAAGGCTAAACCCACTATAGCCTACAGAACAGAAACATATACAATGTTTGACACACCCCCATAGGCTAAGTGGGAGACAACCAGATGGTCACAAGACCAGTCAAAACAAAGCAAAGCAAAGCACAGCTCAGGGTGGATCTCAAGGATACCACACAAGTTCCGAGCACAAGCAAGCGGTCACAAGACCAGTTCACATGCAGGTTGATAATACAACAAGAAATACAGTGATCACAACCTAACAAGTGTAAACATGCAGGTAGTCATATATAAGGATCACAGTACAAGCAGAGTCAGGAAGTAAGCAAGTGAGGCACAGTAGGCACAAGGCCTAGAACAGTACAGAAACGCTGATGATCACAAGGCTGAAGCGCCTTGGTGAACACATCAGCAGTGTTGGCCCGAGTGGCCACGTAAGCAAGACGAAGCTGACCACGCTGCTGCAACTCTCGAGCAAGGAAGTAGCGCAGAGCGATGTGCTTCGTTCTGTGCTCCAGTCTGTGCTCCTGACACAAGGCAATCATGGCCTTGTTGTCGACGTACAGCACTGGAGGAGAACGAGGCGGCTCTCCAAGGTCGGTCAGCAGGTAGGTGAGCCAGCGTAACTCCTGTGCAGCCATGGCCCCTGCGTAGATCTCAGCCTCACAACTGGAGCTGAGAACAGAAGACGAGCGGGTAGACCGCCAAGAAACAGAGCCGGAGCCAAGGCTGAAGGTGTAACCCTGTGACGACTGCTGCGTAGCCAAGTCGTCAGCCCAAGAAGCGTCTGCGTGACCAGTGAGGACAACTCGACCCCGTCCTCCAAGCACAAGCCCCATGCCCGACGTACTGCACAAGTAGCGCAACACCCTCTTAGCAGCATCCATGTGCTCCTTCCTGTGTCGGCCAGGAGCGACATAGCGTGCTAGGATGCTAAGAGGGTAGGCAAGGTCAGGTCGAGTGCAGGTCATCAGGTACATGAGGCAGTCCACAAGCTCTGGATACGGGCCACTCGGCTCTACGGACTCGTCCGAAGGTGGAGCTGAGAGCGAGTGACCGGTAGGCAGAGGAGTGGACTGTGGCGAGGAGTACGTGTAGCGGAAGCGCTGAAGGACCTGCTGCACCATGTGTGACTGAGTCAAGGTAATGGTGCGCTGTGCTCTGTCCCGGGTGATCCACAAGCCAAGATAGCTTGTCAGCTCACCCAGGTCTGTGCACGTGTGTCTCTTCTGCAGCTCTGACTTCACGTGGGCGAGTGGCTCAGTGTCAGCAGTAGCAAAGACCAAGTCGTCTACGTACACGAGAACGTAGAACGGCGGCAGAGTGGTGTCGGTGCGTAGAAACAGCGACGGGTCAGCAGTAGAAGGAGCAAACCCAAGAGCAGCAAGAGTAGTCCTCAGTGTGTCGTGCCACTCACGGGGTGCCTGGCGGAGACCGTAGACTGGCCGCCTGAGGCTCCACTGGGTACCAGCAGGAAACGACCCAGTGAAGCCAGGTGGGCGGCGCAGCCAGATCTCCTCGTGCAGGCTGCCCTGTAGGAAAGCAGTGCTGAAGTCAAGAGAGTGGAGCTCGTAGTCACGCTGAGCAGCGACGTGCAGCAGAACCCGAAGAGTGGTCATCTTCGGGGTAGGGGAGAAGGTATGGAAGAAGTCAACTCCCTCAAGCTGACTGAAGCCTCGTGCAACGTAACGCGCCTTGATGACAGGCGGAGAACCCGGCGGCCGCTTCACCCTGAAAATCCGCATGCCACTGACGATGTTCGCCCCAGGCGGGGGAACCTCGTCGACGTAGGTGCCTGTGGACTTCCAGGAAGCCATCTCTGCGTCCATGGCTGACTGCCACTGAGAGGAGTAGGGACCCTCTATCGCCTCTGCGTAAGAGCGCGGGGTCGGGATGTCTGGTGCATCCGGGTCTCCCTCAGGGGCAATCAGCATGGACACGAGATGAGGTAAAGCAGCGGCAAAGCACTCAAACTCCTCCTGTCTGTCCTCAAGGACGTCCGTGCCAAGAGCACACTCACCCCCGACGGACGGAGGACAGACAGACTCAGACTCAGCAACAAGGCTAGCGGCGTAGTCTAGACGACAGGCGGCAGCCAAGTCAACAAGCTCAGCGACTAGAGCAGACGCAGCAGTGGACTCAAACGAAGGGTCAGTGACAACAGTGGCGAGGAAACGCGTGAGAGTAGGACTGGCAGCACGAAGGGAGTCAGACTCCGGATCCGGACCGTCAGGAAGAGAGGACGCAGGAGGAGACGGCAGAGGGACACGCTGTGGAGCAGTGGAAGGACGCAGAGACATATAGTGAGTGCCAGGGACAGGAGGAGGACGCTGACGCGGAACACGACCAGTGCGGACAGCGCGAACAGGCGACTCAAGACGAGTCTCAGGCGACACAGGACGAGACTTAGGCTCACGACGCTTCGTAAGACCTCTAGTCGGTCCAGAGTAAGGAGAAGGACCAGGCAGTGGAGAGGCTGGCAGTAACTGCGAATGCGACTGGACAGGCGGTGGACTCAGTAAGGGAGGAGGAGGAGGACCAGTAGAAAGCGGTAGGCCAAGAACCTGCTGAAGGAGCGGAACGTAGTACGGCCGCGGCCGCGCAGCTCCTCCTGAACCAGCAGAGACAGCACCAGCACCCTCTGCCCCAGGGTCTCCAGCTACAACTCCCGCAGCACCACCGGCAGCTCCAGCAGCTCCAGCACCTCCAGCTCCAACTCCCGGAGCAGCTCCAGTCCCAGCAGCTCCAGTACCTCCAGTAGGAGCACCTCTAGGACCAGTGGCTCCAGCAGCTCCAGCACCAGCAGCACCTCCAGCAGCTCCAGCACCAGCAGCACCTCCAGCAGCACCAGCACCAGCAGCACCTCCAGCAGCTCCAGCACCAGCAGCACCTCCAGCAGCACCACCAGCAGCACCTCCAGCAGCTCCAGCACCAGCAGCACCTCCAGCAGTACCAGCTCCAGCAGCTCCAGCTCGAGCAGAACCCCCAGTCCCAGCAACTCCAGTACCGCCTGTACGAGCACCTCCAGGACCAGAGGCTCCAGCACCTCTAGCAGCACCAGGGCCTCCAGCAGGCGGCACCCCAGCGCTAGGAGCGCCGCTCCGGAGGCTGCAGCGCCGAGCGTACCACTCACGCAGCCGCTGTGGGGAGGGAGGCTCCGGCCGCAACACGGCACCCGCAGCACCACCAGCTCCAACTCCGGCAGAACCCCCAGCTCCAGCAGCCCCACGCCGGAGGCTGCAACGCTGAGAGTACCACTCACGCAGCTGCTGTGAAGAGGGAGCGCCACCAGGCACAGCACGGTCAGTCTCAGAAACCCCAGCCTCAGCTCCCCCAGTCTCAGCACCCCCAGGCTCAGCACCCCCAGGCTCAGCACCCCCAGGCTCAGCACCCCAGGCTCAGCACCCCCAGGCTCAGCACCCCCAGTCTCAGCACTCCCAGACTCAGTTCCCCTCGCAGGACCAGAGTCGACAGCTACCTCGACAGGCTCGACTGCGTCTACCTGGGAAACACCTGAGGGAGCAGGACCCTGGGGAGGGAGGGGGTCTACC